TGACATCAGAACAGTTGGAGTCCTGCATAAAGTCAGAGTCCTGCCATAAATATTTTGTACATATACAAAATACATATACCATAAACATATTGTACAGATAATTACTGCACATAAAGGGCTCTATTTTCATGCCAGTGTAAGTGTAATTTTCTGCTTAATGCTGGTGTGTTATTTTTTTTGGTTGGGCACAAGCCAGTGAGGAGCTCTGTTCCTATATTTATGGTCATAAATTTATGTGCTCCGCTAATATGTGGAGTGGTGCAAAAGGGTTTGTGACATTCAGAATCCACCTATACACTGTGCTTTTCAAATCCATTACCCCAAAATCCCACCTAGTGCAGACGCAGGGATAAGATAGTATTTTTCTATTAAAATGCAGCCTTAAAACTGGTTTTGTTGATGTTCACAATTTATATAAAAATTTATAAAAAAATATATAAAATTTATATAAATCCTGCCTTTCAATATATATATAGGCTATTTCATCCAAATACTAACTAAATACAACATAATTAATTATTATAACTGTAAAAAAAATAAGAACAAACAGCTTAGTTGTGGCTACTCAGTTGCAATTCATATGGAAGGTTTTTATGATGTTGCACACTAGGTTTTATTTTAACCAGCATTTAAATCCACAGCAGCTGAGATATGCATACCCATCTGTCCTACTGGGTATTTGCACACACATAAGTGAAGCATAAACTTTACGATCAGTTGTGTGACCTCTCATGACCTTTAGTCTGAACTGAAATGATGATCTCAAAATAAGCAGAATAATTAGAGTTAGTGTAAGGTAGAATATTTAGATCCTCTCAGGTGTGGGGCTTTAATTCTCTTATAAACACAAGTGAGAATTTGGGGTTTATGTTTTAGCTCATAAATTGTTTTAATTGTGAGTCTAAACTGTGCAATTTAGAATGAATATTGTCTCCTCATTTGTTATGCTATCACTAAAATATACCTAAGACAGATGATATATTTGCTGCAATTTCTTTCAGCCAGCTGGTTATTATTGTCAATAAAATCGCCAAGAAATCTGTAAGTGAAATATAAATCCTGTCATTACAAAAACGTCACTGTGCTGCACAACCAGGGACGGATCTAGGATCATTAGGGATGCCCTAATGAGCATGACATGCAAACATGAAAAGCACTAGCTGGTTTTCATTACGGTAGTTGATTGATTACTGTTACTTTCCCAAAAACTCCACACTGTTGATCTCTAAATCTAGAAACCAACAAAGAAATTAAAAAATGGTTTTTAAAATGGGTATGAAGGTGCCAACTGCCAAGCAAAGGCTGTGAAAAAATGCTTTCTAAAAAGTTAACAATACCATGGGCAAAGCTTGCCCTGTCTCTTTTTTTTACCAATTTGTTTTGCCAATCATGGTCTTTTCAAATGTACTGATAAATGTAATACATCAGGTATTCAACTTTGTGACTAGAAAGACACCCAAATTCTGTGAAAACAGCTTCTGATTTGCTTGGAAACCTCTTAGTAATGTATTCACTGATACCCAACCCTTTGTTACATTTGCACCATGATAACACCATGCAAATGTTCACAAACACAAACATATAAAAATATATATACAGCCTTGTTTTTGTGTGTGTGCCATGGCCATGGCAAGAGTGAATTTCTTATCACGATATTGAAATTTATGTAAAGCATGCAAAATTTCTTTGCATAAAGCTTATTAGGCTTCAGCTTGTTAGGTTTATTTATTAAGATGTTTAAAAGACCAGGTTTATTACTACTAAACAATTATGCAAAACTAATATGCCCTTTATTTCTTCCTCATTTTACATTAGAAGGTCTCGAGGACTTGAATACTTGTGTAAATGTGATAGTTTAGTTTTTTTATTTATAATAAATGTGCCAAAGCTCTTTGTGGTTTTTATTTACATTTTCTTTTTCTTTTTTTCAGATTTATGATTTAAAAAACTATAATCCATCATATGTCTAATTACTTGAAAGACTGAATAAATAGATTTGGTTATACTTCATTTGCAAATACTTAGATACTTTGTAAATAATCTGACACACATAAAACATAATTTGCCTATGGTTACACTCCTAGAAAATTTAAAAACCTTAATAGTTCTATAGCTGTCCCTCTGGGTGAACTTTAAGGTTCTATGTCGAACCCTACAACAGATTCACTATCAGAAAGGGCTTTAAGAACCTTTAATTATCCAGTGACACCTTAAAGAACCCTTGAAGGACCCCTGAAAAAGTTAAATATTATCAATCCATTCATAAATAAACCAGTGTTGAGGTTAGTTTTTTATATAAAATCAAACTAAAGCATTAGGTGGATAAATATAGCATTGGTATATAATACATACCTTGCTTCCTTGTTTTTAAGAATAAGCTTAACTTTAATCTCTCTCTGTAAGTAGTAAGGTGATTGTGCTTAACATAGTCATCATTTTTCTTCCTAAATATTAGATTATATATAATATATAATACCCTTTAGCAGTAATGATACACATTAATATATATTTGTACACATTATCTAGTACACATAATGTATATTTATGTATATTTACAATTATGTATATGTGAAGAATTCTTACCATTGTGATGTTTGGTCTAATGGCTCTGGGAGTGAGTCAGTTTTATGGTTCCTTATTCCTTAAAACATCGCATTACTCATTTATAGCACATCGTCATTAAGTGTAAACTCTACACTGTACTTATTTGGTATCTTTCCAACCAGAGATCTGATGCAATGACACACTGATGCAACCTTATCTAGTGATCATTTTGCTGCTTCTTGTTTCTTTCTCTGCCTCTATCCGTATTTCTCTCCTGTTTATTTACTTATTGTCACTTGTGTGACCTTCGTAGAGGTGCAGATGGAGGAGTGATAAGTTTTGTTGACTCAGCATTGTTGACTCAGTTTGATGGAGCTTTTGCGAGTGTGTTATACATTAAGGTTTCATTCCAGCTGTACCATTGTTGGTCGATTAGGGTGGCAACGCAGTGCAAACAGAAACGGAAGTGAACTGAAAATGTGTTCAGTGTCTCACATGTCACAAATAAACTTCATAGTATTTTATACCGGTTTATTGGTTAACACTTCTACATTTTAACATTTTTACTAAAAGTTGAACAACACTAAAACCAGCTTTTTAAAAATATAAAACTCTGTTTTGTGTGAATCTTCAGTTGCTTTAAGGAACATGAAATATCATCAGGTTTTGTAATCACAGAGCCGGCATTGCCAGATAGATCATTTACATGGTGCCTTTAGGATACCAGACCTTCATCCTGTCTCCAACTCCTAGACGGTGCCTACCATCCTCATATGCAACCTGTTTGGCATAAAATACCTCAAGGCCTACTAGTCATAACAATTTTTACTAGTGATAATGTCAATTTCAGATATCTGCAATGCACTCTTTAATAGTCATAATTTACAATAAAGATATCTACTTATGATATCTATTTCATTTTCAAGTAGTCATTAATTTTGTTTCATCATATTCATAATGGATTATGACTAGAATTTTTACTAGTCATAATTCATACAGATATGACTATTCATATATCACCATTGACTTACATTGAATTCCTGCCTCTCTTATCCACCATTCAGTTTCTGCAAGTAAAAATGTAATTTTCAAAATCTGCAATTATATTTTTAGTAATAGAAAATCAAACTGCAGATATCTACGTTTAAATTTTGACTATTAAAAATTCCAAGTTCGCATATCAGTAATTAATTTATGACTAGTAATATTGCTATGTCAAGATACAGTCCCCTCTGAAAGTATTGGAACACCAAGGTCAATTCTATTGTTTTTGCTATATACTGAGGACATTTGGGTTTGAGATCAAAAGATGAATATGAGATAATAGATCAGAATTTCAGCTTTCATTTCCTGATATTTACATCTAGATGTGTCAACTTATGTCTTCAGTGTACAGCAAAAACAGTATAGCAAAAACAAAAAAATTGGCCTTGCCATTCCAGTGCTTGTGGATGGGACTGTATATATAATGCAGTATTGACTAGTTTCATTTCACATTCAAAATATGTTTACAGTGACCTGAAAAAGTATTTGCCCCTCCTGATTTCCTCTATTTTTGCATATTTGGCCCTGTTCACACCTGGCATTGAAATGCATCCTGGGTGATCCAATCATAAATGGACAGAACTAAGAACAGGTATGAACAGGGTCCAATGTGTCTCAAACACATATTGTGATCCGATTATTCAAACCACATTCGGACGTGGTTTGGGACGCATGCAACCAAATAACATTTATAGTGTGAACATAAAAGCATCTTCATGTGTCCTGGACAGAAACAAAGGACCGCCTAAATGACTATGTCATTGCCCTAGCTGGCAAATATGTAAGCATTGTGAGACTGTTTGAAAATCACACTGAACATTTCTCCTATGTTGAGTTAATGGACAAAGGCCAATGCTATAACAGCAGAGATGAAAGCAGCTGCTTTTCCTAGCTTCTTTCCTCATCTCATCTCCTGTTCATTTATAAGTTTCATTAGAGACCATGTGATCGAAACATTTGAAAACAGTCTGTATAGGTACATGAGATAGGATTCATGGGACATTTCTGCTGAAAACAAATGCAGCGGAAGACTAATGTTAGAATGAAAATGATGTATGAAATACAGACAGAAGTGGTCACTGAAGGTGCATGCAAAGTGTCAGATGTAAACAGCTCTGCGTTTTCGGCTGTCCACAGACTGGGAAATACACCACACTGATTCACCAATGAACGAATTCATTTGGGTGTTTGTTTATGCACCATTTAGCAATCTATACAGAGTGATGTTGTTGTTGTGCTTTCGGCTGCTCCCATTAGGGGTTGCCACAGCAGATCATTGGTTCTGTATATTTGATTTGGTACAGTTTTTTATGCCGGATGTCCTTGCTGACACAACCCTCCCCAGTTTTATCCGGGCTTGGGACCAGCACTGGGAGTGCACTGTCGTGTACAACCCCAGTCGCTGAGGTTGGTTTCCTGGCCGGGAATCGAACCCAGGCTGTGGCAGTGAGCGCTGTGGCCTAACCACTAGTCCTCCAGGGACCCATACAGAATGATAAAAATATTTAAATGTAAGAAAAAGGTACTGAAAACTGTTTGTAGGTTGATGTTTAATGTTGTTTGATGTTCAACCCCTGTTTAATGTTATAAACAAATCCATATATTTCTGTATAAAATGAGTCCCTTTTCATCCAATCTGAATTTTTTTTTTTTTTTTTTTGGAAAAGTCAGGTCCCCTAGTAGGACTTTGACTGCCCTCTGGTGGACGAAGTGCGCATTACACTATTAACCCTTTTCTTTCCGACGTACAGAACAGGCTCCTGTCAGTGAAGATGGCGACCGGAGTCCTTCAACGCTGTCTTAGCGGCCTTGGCTCGGCGAAATACAGGGCCAGGACGAAAGGGCAGGTCATTCTTTTCAGGTCTGAACATTTTATCTCCATTACTGTTTTGTAGACGTCATCACGACGCTTTGTTATCAGAGAAAGATACAGGAGTGAATCAGATAACGGGCCGTGTCCCAGTGCACATGCTGTTAAATACAAGTTCAGCTAAAGTAAAGCATATTCACATCCTCTCCTTCTATAGGAAACATGTCTGCATGCATTTCTGCATCAATTCTGTTCAGTGTAAACCTCTCGGATAAGCCAAGATCAGTGCAATTGTACATTGTTAAAGGATAAATCAGACTCTTGATTGCTGAAGGACACACAGATTTCAATATACTGTTACATTACAATCACTATGTAGTGATATTGACACTAGGATCATAGATTGTTTTTATGTTTTGGCAGTTTTGGCATGATTGAGAGCACTTGATTGCAGTTATTTTGAGCCACAAAATTACAGCTGCTGAAATATAGTATTGAACAATGTTAAATAGGTTTTGTTGTTGTTGTTGTTGCTGCTGTTGTTACTTTAATAGAGCTCCCATTGAGAACTATATGAAGGGATTGCACTGCACAGGAAACCTTTTTTCAGGCCTGGTTAAAACAGTAGTAGCAGTTTACTGTTTCCCATGATTTTGGCATCACAAATGAATTCATTTATTCATTCATTTGATTGGTTGGTTGGTTGGTTGAATGACCAGCTAGTCAAGTCAAGTCAAGTCATGTTAAGTCAAGTCAAATCAAGTTTATTTATATAGCACATTATTATAAAATGAGTGCTTACCAAAGTGCTGCACATCACACATAACGGGAAATGAAAATATGTTAAAATGGTAACATGAAATATAATTAAGAATGAAAATAAATATATAAGCAAATAATTACGATAAGAAAACAAATCCGATATAACTAAGGTCAGAAAGTAAGCAGTTAAACAGTGGGGGAAAAAAACAAGGCAAATTATAGATAAGCCAGAGAGAAAAAAAAATATATATGTGTGTGTGTGTGTGTGTGTGTATGCTAAAGTGAAATGTTGAGTCAATTGTATTGTATGGTATTTTATTCTATCTTACCTTTTAGAGTTGTTATGTAAGTGTCTTTTATTGTATTGGTCTTGTTATAATGTGTTGTGAAGCCAAAGACAAATTTCCATTTGTGGACAATAAAGGAAAGTAAGTAAGTAAAAAATAAGTTTTAAGGGATGTTTTAGATGAATTTATTGTAGGGGAGGATCTGACAGGGAAGAGCAAACTATTCCAAAGCCTCAGTGCCATTACAGAAAGGGCGCTATCACCTTTGGTTTTTTAATCGTGACTGGGGAATGGTTACACAGGCCGAGCTGGTCAAACTGGTGGACCATCTTTGCCAGCTGATAAATTATTTTCGACCTGGATTAAATTGATCAATAAATGTTTAAATGAGATATTCAAATAGTGTTACTGTTGTGCTATTTTCTTAAAAAAATGTCATTTCTTATAATGTAGTATTAGTAATAGTAAACAGACCCTTTATTAGTAGTAGAAAACTATATTAGTAGTAGAAAACAGACACTCTTTTCTTTCTATCAGTACCTACAACTGGTAGCTGGTTGGACCAGGTTGGATTTTATAGCAGGGAGATAATTAGGGTTTATTATATTTACCTTACAATACAATGCAATATAAACACATAACTATAATGTCTTATCCTAGAGGATTGTCGGCATCCAGTCACCGAAATCGAGAGGAGAGCTGGTTCAAGTCTCTATTTGTGCGTAAAGTCGACCCAAGAAAAGACGCCCACTCTCACCTGCTGGCTAAGAAAGAAGAAAGTAACCTTTATAAAATTCAGTGTAAGTAATAGTGTGTGTCAGTAATGTTTGACTTTGTCAGACATCTGTGCTTGTCATTGTTAATAATTACTTTTATTCGCTTAGCGGATATCTTAACCAGAAGCAACCAAATCCAATCTAAGCATATAAACTCTTAGAAATAAAGGTACCAGACCAAACTTTTTCCTATCGCGGAAAAGGGGTGGTCCTATCGAGGATCGTTTGTACCTGTAGTATGTATTTTTTGCTTTGGAAGGTGCATATGGGGTACTTTTAATTAGTTTTTAGAGTAAAGCTTTAAGGGTATTAGTAGTCCTTAAGCTCCAGTTATGTGCCTTAAATTATTTTTGAAGGTATTCACTTTTCCAGGTGAAAGATACATACTAAAATGTTAACTTCATGGTACCATTACATCTAGAATAGTATAAATATACATATCTACAGTAATTTACTTGAAGAACTACTTACATTAAATTACTGTAACAATTATTACAGTAAGCTTACTGTAATGGATTAATTATAGTAAAATGCTAGATTTTGCTAAAGATGCTAAAGATACTGTGATAAGGAAAGCAGTGAAATGTTTAACAGTGTCATTAATAACTAATGGTTTCTTCATTTTAGTTCACAGTGTGAAGCCTGAATGTCTGGATGCTTATAACAAACTCTGGTAAGCACCGACCCTTTCCCATTTCTTTTTTTCATATCTCAAGTGTTCCTGGTGATTAATTACAAACCAATGAACTATTTTCAGTTACTTAATCAAGAATTGCCTGTTGGAAACCCTTGAGACTGTAGTGTAACTCCATCCGATACATATTCAGTTCTATTCCTGTGAGATGATTGGCAGGAACAGGAATGTGCTGCACTCCATTCCTGAACTGCATTTCAGGGACAGTGACTTTGAGAAATTAATTTAAAAATGGTGTTGTCTCTGAAAATTAATGATATAAAAATATCTTGGTAGTGGATTTGGAATTTTGATTGGAATTATTTGTTGTTGCTGTCAAACCTATTGTCCCTGTTTTGTACTATTCAATACCCAGTATTCAGGCTTTAATACAATAAATAACTGATGATCTCCATGCCTACATTGTGACCCACAGTGAAGATGTGTTGCCTTCGATCCATGCGGATAAATACTACCCCTGTGAGCTGGTGGGAACATGGAACACCTGGTACGGAGAGCAAGACCAGGCTGGTAGGACCTTGCAGATAAGCACCATGTTCTTTCAGGCCCCAGAAATGGGAGGAAGATGTGATTTTATTAGTGTTTTCTGTTAATCTGGGCAAGGTTTTTATCCATCCTGGTCATTTGATATGCGTAGTCCTGTTAAATAGCCTGTTCAGTGAAAATCTCTGAAGGTTTTTAAACACTTCTGTCATTGTCAGTGTTTCATACTATGAAGTCTAGGCATTTGGCCATACCTTGAAGATGATTTGCTACATATCCTAGACTTACTAATACATATTGAAGGGGTAGACAAATTGGTGACTGAGAAGATGTATGTAAAGGTTTATTTTATGATTACTGAATTGTCTAGTCTTCACCCTAAGATGCTGCCATTGTTTGACACTCGTAGCAACCATGTTCACTAGTTGGCTGCCACTACAGGTTGTTTTTCTGGCAACAGTATTATTATTCACATTACAGACAAACTCTTCACCATTAGCTTACCATTATTATTATTATCATTATTATTATTATTATTATTATTATTATTATTATTTACCTTGCCACTAGTGGTAATAGTTAACCATTAGTGGTCAAATTCTGCTTCCATTAAGGGTAGCAGATGCTTGTTTTCTTTTCTGGTAAGTCTACCACTTACAGCAGTTTATCAGTGGTTTTCCTTTTAAGTTTTTCCTTTTTAATAGTAATTGTAGTAAACAAAGCAGCTGGAAAAATCTAAATTCTTTATATAAAGCTAGCCAGAAAAAGCCAGTTGGCCACAAAACTGTTTGCCTATGAAAATATAACTTTGCCACATACTTGCAGCAAGGTAAACCTTAAGAGTTTGACAGTGGGCCAATATTTTGTGAGAGATTTTATTAAAAAAGTAAATTCCCTATATCAGTTTTGTGGGACAACACACAGTCTGATCATGTCCAATAGAGTAGATGTTTCTAGGGGTAATCACAGCAGGTATACTGTATTTGAAGCACAGTGACTTTTGCAGTAATATTAATGAAATGTGATCCTGTAAACATATTGTAGAACATTTTTGTACACATTATTAAGAGTTACTCTGGAGGGTGCAAACTGGTATGTATACTTCTTTGTGTACAGTCCATCTGTGGAGGTACCGTGGAGGCTACCCCGCCCTGACCGAAGTCATGAATAAACTGAAAAATAATAAGGTATATGACATTTTAAGTAATGTCTTGGTGTGTTTATATGCTTAAACGACACCCCAGCTGTTGAGAGGAAAGCATTCTAAAGCTTCACTATTGCCTTCATGATGAGTTATTAGTGGTAAAGCTAATGCTAAATGCGTGTGTGGATTCAACACTGATGACATTATTTAGTGTAAAAAAAACTTGCTGTCTGATTTACTCACATTTAATCAATGCATTTGATTGAGCCCTGAATTTCCATGTCGTTTTGGACTTAACAGGAATTTTTGGAGTACCGAAAGGAACGGGGGAAGATGCTGCTTTCTCGTCGCAATCAGCTATTGCTGGAGTTTAGTTTCTGGAACGAGCCAGTTCCACGCGAGGGACCAAATATCTACGAACTTCGATCATACCAATTAAGAGTAAGTCACAAAACTGTGTTTTGAGGACTTCACCAGATCATTTCATTTTAGGTTGTTTGCACCAATAGTTAAATACATTCGGCTC